TTTAATTTATAATTACATCAATTATATTTAAACAGAATAATAAAAAATTGAAAATATGTTCTTAATAATTGGTAAAAGATTAACAACAAACTATTAAACAAATCAATTAACATTGAATAATTTTGCGACCTTATTTTTCAAGGGTCTAAAGTCATTGATTTAGTGACTTTAGGTTTGAGCTGCCCATTTGACCTCAGAAACTAATATAAAGAAATTATTAAAATTATCGAGATAATAATCTCCTCTTAAGCAAAATTCTCTAAAGATATAATTCATAAATATGACATTTAACTTGGCCTCATTGCACATTTATGCCCTCTAATTTTGTGTGTGCACAAGTAAACACTTAAGCTTGTATAAAATTGAACAAGGAAACGCATGAGTTCTACGTGACATAATAGACGGATAACACAAATTATCATGTGGATGACATCTAGAACATGTGTGTCTATTTGCTCAACTTTATACAAGTTTAAGTGTCTGTTTGTGCACACTCAAAGTTGAAAGTCATAAATGTGAGTTGAGGTCAAGTTAAATGACATATTTATGTAGTATGCCTTCTCTAAACGACTATATTGTGATTGCTATTATGTTATTATCCAAAGACTTATCATTTATTTGTAGGAGTCCAAAACTTTTACTCCCTCCGTCTTAATTATGGGGAAAATTATATAAAATAACAAACTATTAATTCAAATTAAATACTATAACCACAATTTGATTTTATTGTAATCCGTAGCAAACAGTTGACATTCGCCTCTCTCCCTGAATTTCTCGCTCACCACTCTCAATTTCTCGCTGCCAGTCTCTCTCTCTCGCCTGTCTCACTTTATACAAACACAAATGTATAAAATGTGTTTGTGTTTGTATAAAGCGAGAGAAAACTGTATATATACATATCTTTTCGTTCGCCTCTCTCCCTAGAGAATCTCGCTCACCACTCTTACTCGTCTCTCTCACTTTATACAAACACAAATGTATAATTTGCGTTTGTGTTTGTATAAAACAAGAGAAAATTGTATATACAAATACATATATTTTCGTCCTATGCACTTATAATTATACAAATACAGATCTTCCACTGCCGAGTTTTCTTTTGTTTTTCTCGCTTTATACAAACACATATTATACAATTGATTCTTTTGTATATGTATACCGAAACAGATTATACAATTGGTTCCTTTGTATATGTATACTGAAATATACATATTAATAGTCATAGCAAACATAAAGTTTGTTATGGAGCACAATTATACAAACTATAGCTATAGCATACAAATACGATTTTTATGTTTGCTAAACCTAAAATTTACTCAAACTTAGGTGGCACTTTTCGAATTTTGAGATTCAAACAAGTCTATCTTTGACCATAAATTTTTCATACATCTTATAAATATTTTGAATTGTCAATTATTGTGACTTATAATATTTTTTACGTAGTTTATAAATATATAAATTTCATTTAAAATTTTTTGAAGATTTCATGCATAAATTACCGGTCAAACATAAATTGTTTGACTCTCGAAAAATAAAAAATGTCACATAAATTAAAACAAATGACGTACTAAAAAACGATTAACCAAATATGGAAGAAATTGTTTCCAACAAGGAAACATTTTCCATAAAAAAATATTTTAGAAGTAATACACAATGATAATAGAATTATGATAAAGTAGAAAATTTAGAGCAAAATCTAGCCGAAAATGTCATGAGGCGTAAGCCCCGTCAATTTGGACGTACTTTTTTTTGGTTGTGCTAAAAGCTCATGCAGCAGTGCAACACATGGACAATGCGCGAGAGCCCAAGTAGAAAGCTACCTTAATGGACTTTACCCCTTGAAAAACCGAGTTAATATCATGTGAATCAATGATTCACATATCAGTTTGGACGTATGCTTAGGCGTTGGAAGAGATTGGGTGTGAGCCTAGAAAGCTCTCCTAATTAAAATTAAGGTATAATACATAAATGTGCTCTTTAACTTGGTCGTAACTTATATTATGTCTTTCAATTTTGGATATGCACAAATAGATACTTAAACTTGTATAAAGTTAAACAAATAGACACACATCCTACGTGACATTCTACATGACAATTTGAGCGTCTACTAGCACATCAAAAGTTGAAGGGCATAAATGTAAAATGAAGTTAAATTAAAAGGCACGTATATGTATTATACCTAAATTTAAAATAATTAAATATGCCCTTAAATTAATAATAGAAAATTCAACTTGTTATTAAATTTTAATATCTTTTACTCTTACCCTTTTTAAAAAAAATCATTTCTCTCTGTCTTTCTCTGAATAAGAAGTAAACTATGAAGTAAAAACGCATCATTTTTCATTACTTATTCTAGTCTAATTTACTGACTTTAGGTTCATTCTTCATATTTTTTTCAAGTTAATTTATAAATTTTTACTCACTTTTAAAAAAAAAATTGACTAACTTTTTTAGATGAGCAGTTTTATGTACATTCAACTTATATTATATTTTCTTGTTTTATATGTAATTTTATACTTTTTTATTGTAATTTTTATTATGTTAATTTATAAATATTAAAAATTGAAGATTCACAAGGCTTACACCAACATCTTGAGACTTACGTCACGTTTCCTATCAGATAAAATATCTCACTTGTACTTGCACAAATGTGTCTTTTAATTTGGCCTTAAATGACATGTATGCCTTCCAACTTTCAATGTATACAAATGAGAAAAAGCTCAAAATAGTCCCTTATCATTGAGTTAAGACTCAAAGTTATCCTTGATTTTTCATTTAGAGCACTAATATTTTTTCATGTCTGCAATATTGGTGCACTTTTGGTCCTCACTCAAGCTTTTGTCTATTTTTTAACATTGATTTTATCCACAATTTATGTATGGAATGTTTAAGCGTCTTTTAGGGATTGTTTGCAAAGCCATCCAGGTAATTAGATTTGGTGTAATTGAATGTAATTACACTATCTGACATGTTTGGTTGGTCAGCTAATTACTTGATCAACAGCTAATTGAGTGTAATTGGCAAGAATAACTACGCTCTCCAATTCACAGGGGGCTGTGAATTGCTGGTAATTATATGGTGTAATTACAAGCTAATTAATTTTTTAATTTCTTCCTTTTATTTTTTCATTTTAATTTATTTTTTATTTTTATTATTAAATTCTTTTTTATTTTTATTATTCTAATGTTTTCTATGTATAAAAATATATTTTTTATTATTTATATTTCATTTTCTTCTCATTATCAACTTTTACTTCATGTGATTCCATGCAATTTTCTGTATTATCTATTTTTTTTCATTAGTATAATTTTGTTAGTATTCTAATTTTTAAATTAAATTAGAATTCATTGTTGAATAATGTTATGGACTTACATTTTTCTTTTCTTTTAAATCATATTTATATATGTTATGTTGAAATTTAACGTAAGAGTATTATGTTAAATTTTTTGTTTTGAACCTAGAAGTTAGAACTTATGTTGTATTTTCAATTTCATTTGTTTTAGAAGTGTTGACTCGATATTTTACATTGCAATCTATTTTTTTTTAGTTAGACTTGATAGATTATCTTTTTGTCAAATGTTTTTATAAATTTTGTGACATTATATTTATAATATTAATCTTTTTGTCAAACATGCATTTCATGATGTTCGTAGAAATTTTGTACCTTTTATTTTATTGATTAATTTAATTAAAATATACTAAATTGAAAAATATAGATCAATTATTTTTATAAGATTAGTTAAAAACATATGTTTATTAATTAATATATTTTCAAACGACAATATGCATCTTAAATATTTAATTTAATATCATTTATAAAATCTCTTATTTGTCTAATATAAATTTTTTAATTTTAGATAATTAATTTTTATTTTAAAATTTTAATATAATCTTATGATTAAACTTGTGCAACCAAACAACACCCTTGTAATTACATTGTGGCAAACAAACATGTCAATGTAATTACTAGGTTGTTAATTATTACCCTAATAATTTACTCCCTCCGTTTAATTTTATGTGACACTTTTCAGATTTCAAGATTCAAACAAGTTTATATTTGACCGTAAGAAACATTTTGAATTATCAATTATTGTGACTTATAGTATTTTATACATAGTTTACAAATATATAATTTTCATTTCAAACAACTGAAAATTTCATGCGCAAATTTCTGGTCAAACCTAAACTGTTTAACTCTCGAAAAAACGAAAAGTGTCACATAAATTGGGATAGAGAGAGTACTAATAATTCCAATTACATGGTGACTTTCCAAACAAATCCTTAATATATTTAATAGAAATAATAACTACATGTGAGAGAAGGTGAGAAGAAGAACACCTTGTTTTGTTTAGTAGAAATATTATTGCAGCTAATATTAATATCGAGAGGTTAATCACGTCGATTTCATATGCAATATATAGTACAAAAAAAAAAATTGCCAATGTGTTCTTCTCACCTTCTCTACCTGGAGTTATTGTTTCTCCTAAATATATAAAAAGACGATTGAACATTCAACACATAAAATTATGAACAAAATCAACATTAAAAAATAGGTAAAATTTTGGAGGAGGATCAAAAGTAATCATATTACAAACATGAGGAACTATTAATGCCACATATGAAAAATCAAGACTGAATTTGAGACTTAAAAGTTGGTCTAACCTACTATTAAGTCGGTTCTTTTACTTCTGAAAGTGTCTGACAAATATAAAAATAACTTAAAATAAGTTAGGAAATATTTGACAAGATTAAAAATAATTTAAAAATCAAAAGTAGGCCTCTCCTACTTTTAAAAAAAAATATATATTTAAAAGTCATTTAAGTTTGATTTTATTTTTAATTTATAAACTATTTTTATTTTAAATCAATCCAAACTAGTTCTTATTCTTGTGCACAAATACGCACTTTAACTTATATAAAATTAAATAAATTAATTTAGCAAATTATGTCCTACCGAGAATAGTGTTATGCCTTTTACACCTTACCCCCAATCGTCGCCATTAGCAGAGAAAAGGAAAAAATAATTCCTCTCCTCGCCGGAACCCTAGAAATAGATTCCGTTCAATTGCTTCAATTCACTCCGTTTAGTCATCAGTTTCTCTTCCAATGGGTTCCAGAGATGCAGACCCAAGTCTAGGTTATCTCACTCGCAAGGAAACGGAGGTAAAGCTTCCTAGACCTACGCGGGTGAAGAACAAAACCCCAGCTCCAATCCAAATCACCGCCGAGCAAATCCTCCGGGAAGCTAGGGAACGTCAAGAGGCTGAAATCAGACCACCAAAGCAGAAAATCACTGACCCAACAGAGCTTGCCGATTACCGTCTTCGCAAGAGAAAGGAATTCGAGGCGTTGATTAGCCGTGTACGGTGGAACAAGAGTGTGTGGGTGAAATATGCTAAGTGGGAAGAATCACAAAAGGATTTCAAACGTGCTCGTTCTATATGGGAGCGTGCACTTGAAGTGGATTACCGTGACCATACCATGTGGTTGAAGTATGCTGATGTGGAGATGAAGAATAAGTTTGTTAATCATGCTCGTAATGTATGGGATCGAGCTGTTACTCTTTTACCGAGGGTTGATCAGTTATGGTACAAGTATATTCATATGGAGGAGATGTTAGGTAATGTGGCTGGTGCTAGACAGATTTTTGAGAGGTGGATGGGTTGGATGCCTGATCAGCAAGGGTGGTTGTCTTATATTAAATTTGAGTTAAGGTATAATGAAATAGAGAGGGCAAGAGCGATTTTCGAGAGATTTGTGCAGTGTCATCCGAAAGTTAGTGCTTGGATTAGGTTTGCGAAATTTGAGATGAAGAATGGGGAGATAGGAAGGGCGAGGAATTGTTATGAGAGGGCTGTGGATAAGTTGGCAGATGATGAGGAAGCTGAGCAGTTGTTTGTGGCATTTGCTGAGTTTGAGGAGAAGTGTAAGGAGACGGAGAGGGCAAGGTGCATATATAAGTTTGCACTTGATCACATACCGAAAGGGCGAGCTGAAGATTTGTACAGGAAGTTTGTGGCATTTGAAAAGCAGTATGGTGATAGAGAAGGTATTGAGGATGCTATAGTTGGAAAAAGGAGGTTTCAGTATGAGGATGAAGTAAGGAAGAATCCACGTAACTATGACACGTGGTTTGATTATATTCGGCTGGAAGAGAGCGTTGGAAATAAAGAGAGGATTAGAGAGGTTTATGAGAGAGCCATCGCTAATGTTCCTCCTGCTGAAGAGAAGCGATATTGGCAGCGATACATTTACTTATGGTAAATTTGACAACCTTTACTTTAAATGTGATATTTTAGTTCTATTTTGGATACCTTACCATGCAATTATGTTCATTGGCTGGCTTTGCACTTTTTAGGATTAATTATGCATTATATGAAGAGCTTGATGCAGAAGACATGGAAAGGACCAGAGATGTCTACAGGTAGGATATCGTTGTCTCGACTGAAATATCACTATGTAACTCATTTGGTTGATGAACTGTGTTATTTATTATGTTTTATGTCTTTGATACTGGTAATGGCAAACATAATCTAGATTTACGAACAGCAGTTATCCTTGTATCCAGATTATCTCTTCCTTAATTAGAGTGCTCTGTCTCAAGGCCTAAGAAATTTTCTTGGTGCAGCCCAAACCTTCTTGAGCTCGATGCATCCATCATCTGCGGTATTCCCAACTTTAAGATTTTAAGGGGTTCTCTTTCAGTTGTTTAGTTGCTAGTTTCAAATTTTAGCCTTAATTCCATCAGGCTTTGAGTAGAAATGGGGTTCCTTGGTGTGAGTTTTATTGATTCTGCAGTTTTATATGATATTTAGTTGCAGTGGATAAGTACTGAGTTGGTCTTTGTTGGGGTTACCTTCAGTGACTTTGATTAGTGGTGGTGAACAACTGGTTTTGTGATAGGAAGTCGACTTTTCCTAATTCTTGTGTGTTAGGTTCGACTGACAAGTTCTCCGAGATGAAATCATTCTCCAGTGTTTGATTATTTTCCACCTAAGGGGGGCAGGAATCACTTTTCTTTATCAATGCCCCCACTCATGCTACTAATCTCTTGCTTTAACCTAACATAGAAACATTATTTTCAATCTTTAATATCCAAAATTATCATTAGAACATTATCCTCATATCCCACCCTCCACCTTGTATATTATATTTCACTTACTTTATACCCAACTAAACACTGGAGGATGATCCATGAGATAATTTTCAAGGTGAAGGATTGTTTCCCTTCATGCCAAATGCGCCCAAATCATATGAATATGGTGATATTTGTTTTTAATTAGTTTGAATGCTGTTACTAGCTGTGTAGTCTGGAGTCTGGACAGAGTTTCTGCATCAACTTAATGAGGCCACCAGTAGCTTCAGTTACCAAAATGAGTACAAGTTGGAAGGAATCGACTTACTTTAGAGATATTTTGCATTCTTAAACCCCTATTACTTGATAGTTGAGCTCATATCTATTGCTTAGGGTGATAATACTAAGGATCTGCATCTAGCCCAGTACCCTTAACTCAATCAAGTCCGATGCGCAGTCAATGAGTCAGAGTCGGAGTCCATTTAGTTACCTTCCTGTATGTTTAAAACTACAGAAGTACTTAATGTTTAATCACAGTGCTGCAGTCTTTTCAAAAGTACCTCATGAGGGGAGAGGGTTTGGAACAATGAGCTCATGCTCTTGGAGAAATCTACTGAAGTGCACTCTTTCTGCAGCATTCACATCATGATATTTTAAGAAGAGATGTACAACAAGCAAATGGTATCTATGAGTATTAAATAATGGGGGTTGGTGATGGTTAGAAATAACAATCTATTTGAACTTTCAGTTTTTTGGGTGAACTCATTGAGACTAAGATGGCTTGGGTGGGCAAGGTTGCATGCTCTAGTATTCTCTATGTTAGTAGCACTTAAATCCATAACGTGAATATTCTCTGGAAATATGTACAAACTTGGAGCAAGTATAGAGGGACCAACCATTGCTTTGGGAAACACCTGTTTTTTTCCCTTTCAAGTTGGTAGTTATAAAGTTGAATTAACTGGTAAATTTGCTAAACCAGATCGATATTGGGGGTCTGAGGAGAGATTAAGGTATGCCGAAGAAGCATTGGGGGAGATGTGATTAGACAGGACATGTCACTCATGCAACTTACAAAGGATATGACCGTAGATAGGAGGGTGTGGAGGTCAGGGATTGGGATAGGAGGTTAGTAGACAGTCTTGCGCGGTCTAGTTTTTCTTAGTAGTGTTATTGTTACTTTTCTTCTATTTTCTCTCCGTGATTTTTATTACCACTACTCGTCTCCTTTGTTTCGGTATTATATTATTTATTGTTGTAACTGTTCTTTTCTCTAGTATTTTTAACATGGGTTTTTCACTACTGTATTTCTTATTTTCAAATCTGCTTTGAATTGTTTTATTTGAGTTGAGGGTCTTTCGAAACCACCTCCCTGTCTTCACAAGGCAGGGGTTTGTCAAATTATTAAAGCCAGAGCTCCACCTTATAAAAATAACTTATCAGTATTCATTCTGTTTCATTTATTTGTCTTGCTCCACATGTATTTTCGTGATCAATTTGCAAGTAATTACATTTTTCATTTGATTGGTTATTTGAATCAGTTAATTTCTAGAGTACTTACTAGTTACTAAATGGTCATTACTTGTGTTAAATGATCAAAACCATCAAATGAAGATGCTTTAAGTACCTTTTCGATGCTTGTAAAGTTTCCAACTTAGCACCTTTCTCTGGGGTGGCTAAGTTTTTATTGAATAGAACTGTTACTTGTCTTAAAAAACCATCAAATGAAGATGCGAGGAATAATACAGTTGAGATTGTGAGACATCTTTAGATGTTGTATACTGTGCACAGGGTAGATCTATTTTTGGTTAATATGATACCGTCTTTTCTTTTATGGGAGTTAATATGAGACCAATGTGCATTGCACAAAATATTTGGGGCAAAGCATTTGATTCCTAGGATTCCTTTCTTGCATTAAGCCACCAGAATTCTTCTCATGTTTCATTCTCAAAAAGTTCTCACGTCTATATATCTAGTTCCTTTCCCTGTCTTCTAGTTGATTTTTGTTGTCGTGTGACCTATATTACATGAATTAAGGTCATCCAGACACATAAACAGTTACAAATTCCTTTCGGATTTCGTCAGGGAGTGCCTCAAGCTGATTCCTTGTAAGATGTCCTCATTTTGAAAAGATTTGGTTGTTCTAGTGATCCAGTTTAATTCTGATTGTCCTGGACGGAGGGCTAAATGTTGTGATATGGTGGTACTAGGTTTCTGGTGATGACAAATGTAATCTAGGCTTACAAACTGTTCACTCCTCTTGTGTCTAGATTGTTCTTCCCTGATTACTTGGCTACGGGATTCTATGGCTTGTTTGAAAATAAATATTCCTCAATTAATTGCATGCTTTAAAGTTAACTACAATATGGTTGTTGAATTTTGTAATCGAACTGTTAAGTTCAGAACTCCAACTTATAAGTAGATGGGGTTTTAGAAGAGGGTTGGAAAACTAGGGATATTGTTTTGCCTTTAGGTTGCGGTTTTTGGAGGAATATCATGAAGGGATGGTTTTGCGGAAAGTATCTCATTCAAGGTTGGTGACGGGAGGCCCCCCCCCCCCCCAAAAAAAAAAAAAAAAAAAAAAAACAAACTAACCATAGAAAGAAGAGCATATGTGACATCGTGTATACAAGACCATCTACTTATATCTGTGTAGCAAACGTTGTTGACAAAACATTTGATTATGAGGATACCCTTCTTACCTTTAGCCATCAGAATTTCTCTCGTCGCTATACATCTGAAATCTTTATAATCTGTGATGTTACTAGCCCTCTGCTTACACAGTTAAGGTCATTTAGTTATTTCGTATGTTGAAAGGCTACTTTTCATTTCATCAGGGAGTGTCTTAAGCTGATTCCGCATCAGAAGTTTTCATTTGCAAAGATTTGGTTGTTGGCTGCCCAGTTTGAGCTTCGGCAGTTAAGACTCAAGGAGGCGCGACTTCTACTTGGAGAAGCAATTGGAAGGGCTCCTAAAGACAAGGTAGTCCCCGCTCCCCAGCCATCTTTATGTGGGTTTCTAATATTTCTGAGGGATATCCCTTTGCATGTTACCTAACCTATACATGTCTTCTCTACTATAATACAGATATTTAAGAAGTACATAGAGATAGAGCTGCATTTTGGAAACATAGATCGTTGCAGAAAGCTTTATGAGAAGTACTTGGAATGGTCTCCAGAAAATTGCTATGCTTGGAGCAAATTCGCCGAGTTGGAGAGGTCCTTGTATGAAACAGATAGAGCCAGGGCTATTTTTGAGCTTGCAATTGACCAACCTGCTCTGGATATGCCAGAGTTACTATGGAAGGTATTGTGTTGTTCTACTAGCTGATATGCTTGTGTTTTGCTAAAAATTTATTTTAGAATGTAATTGTCTCCTACCAACTCATGTTCTTGCTTAGTGCTGCTGCTGGGACTCCAGGCAGTTCTATGCTTGCATTTTTCTGTAGCTCATTGTATTAGGATGACTGTTTTCAGCATAGTTGAGCAACTTGGATTTGGTATGAACCCAGAAAAGGAACCGCGTCAATAGTCACTTATTAACTGGAGGTTAGTAGGTCACACCAGCGATGTTCAAAAGCATTATAAGAAAAGATTTAGCACCATTTAAACATTGTTTTATGTACATCAAGTCCATCTAGATTCCTTATGTGCTAAAAGCCGGTCAATGACGACTGTTCCTAATTACAGGAGAAGTTTTACCATTGACATCCAATTGACTAATCCTGTATGCCTTTTTTTATGAAGTACTGACTATCTTGTATGTTGTCCCGACTTATAGAGAAATTTCTTTCAATTCCCACTGTCCATACACATGGCTATCATTTTGAAAGTACCAAACTCCATGGTCTTTATAAGTGTCATCAATACCTGCAACATATATGATTTGAAGATTTCCAGGAAGCTGGTAATAAAAGAATAGTTGTGAAGGACCCCAGGGCCTAGTTCAAGTGACAAAGGTTTGAGGGACTTGTGGCTTACATCAAAGATTTGGGCCATGCGCCATGAGAACTAAGCCTGGTATTGAAGTGGAGAAGGGTAGTGGGGAAGACCCACTATCCCGAGTTTCTAAGGTTGCGGCGTGTCCCAAGGATAGGCCCCTGATAGGTTTTTCGGTCATAAAAAAATTAAAAGAGTACTTGTGGAAGGAATGTCTGCACTAGGGAAAACAATTAACTAGTTTGAGCATAGGTTTACCCTTTTTCTCAGGATGTTGATAAAAAAGGGATAAGAACTGCACAGGGCATGACAAGAAAACAAAGCTTTCGGGAAAATGCTCATCATGCTCTTTTATGTTATGCATTTGGAGACTAACAGACAGTCACCTCTATACTTTAAGCAAGGAATCCAGCCTACAAAAGTTGACAACTTGGGTCCAGTGCTGTGGATTCATTATTTGCCCTGCGCTCCCCATGTTCCTTGTTGCTTAATGATTGAATTCTCAGGCCGCCTTTCTGGGTATTCCTCAAAACCATTTTTGTACCTTTAGTTTGCTGCTCCCTTATATTAACAAAAGAACTAGTATTCTCACTCAGATTTGTTGGTGTAGTCATGGCTTGTCTAGTTCAGTAATTAACATTGCTTTCAAGTCTATAAGACAACTTAGTGGGAAAAACTAAATCGGCATAGTGGTGAAGCTTCCCAGAAGCATTCATCTTCAGGGGACTATCTTGTAGAATGCCAACAAATAGTCTCTCCTGTTATGTTGAAGGCCTTTTTTCATTTTAATTTTTCTGCTGTTGGTTAAGGGTGAGACAGATCATAATATTTGTACAATTTAGTTTAGGTATATGCAATTACATACATTGTAACAAGCTACTGTTATGCATTTCTGATAGGCTTACATCGACTTTGAGATCTCTGAGGGTGAATTTGAAAGAACTAGAGCACTATATGAAAGACTTCTTAACCGCACAAAACACTTAAAGGTATGGATAAGTTATGCGAAGTTTGAGGCTTCGGCTATGGATCCAGAGGCTGAGGAAGATATTGAACTGAAAAAGAACTGCCTGCAACGTGCCAGAGGTGAGAAAATTATATGATTACTAGATTCTCCATTACAACATACCCAGTGATCATTAGATTCTCCATTAATTTTGAATTCTGTGTTGATAATAATTTTACTCCTTTTTTTATTTAGATGTTTTTGAGAGGGCAGTTTCTTACTTCAGAAATTCGGCACCTGAACTAAAAGAAGAAAGAGCAATGCTTCTCGAAGAGTGGCTAAATATGGAAAGTGGTTTTGCTGAGCTTGGGGATGTCAGTTTAGTCCGTGCTAAACTACCAAAGAAACTCAAGAAGAGAAGGCAAATAGACATGGAGGATGGTCCAGCAGCGTAAGTTCTTTTACTATATATTTGCATATTGATAATCTTCTTTTTTATCTTTTGATTGTTTGTGGCAAAAAATAAATTGGGGACAGAAAATTTTGTTGGGAGGTTGGTTGAGTCCCTACGCCTTCTTAGTTTTATGTTGTAGAAAAAATGAGTTCTGGTTAAATTGTTTGCTTATATGGCAGTGCTTAGTTTAATTTTAGTCTGCGTTCCTTTATGTAACTTGATTAGGTGTTTCGCCACTCCCAATTTGTTTGTACATGAAGTCATGAATTAGCGAATTGCTACAAGGAATAACTTTGTTTTGTATTGTAAGGTTGTTTACCTGTTGCTTGGACGTTCGCTGACCCCTTTTGACATCATATACTTTCAAATTTTGCAGTTACGAGGAGTACATAGACTATCTTTTCCCAGAGGAAACACAGACCACAAATCTCAAAATCTTGGAAGCTGCTTACAAATGGAAGAAGCAGCGAGTTGCATCTGAGGAGGATTAGCCAGCTCTGTTAGCTTCCATTTGATTTTGTGTTCTTTTTGTTTTCCCTTTCTCTCTTGTATTAAATGTTGAAAGAAAAGTTGTGAAGAGTTTGTAATACACATTGTATCTCTTATCTCAACAAGTCTAATCTGGCATTGTTGTGCACTCAAAAAAGGTGTGGCACAGGAGGCCTAGTAGAATGCTATGTAGTGAGACGGAGTAATCCAATTTTTTTTTTTTGTTACGTTCTCATGGCAACGATGTATTGTAAATTATGTTAGTGTACTTCAACCAGTTTGAACATAGTTCATCTATCTTGATCATTTCCCTTATTACCTTTTCAATAGCAGAAGGAAGTGATTCATTTGCTTAATTTCTTTCATTTGGGATAATTGATTAAGAGACTGAGTTTTAATTTTCTTGGATCTTACAAATAGCATCACTGTCCTAAATGCCCTGTTTGTTTGTTGAAGATCTGATAAATTATGGTCTAGCAGTTGTTTTCTTGATAAATGCTTTGTATCGTTTTACACTGCGGAAATTTATGTGGTCACCAAGAGGTATGGTGAAATGGATGTGTTATTGTTTCACCCTTCATTGAAATTTTGCCTTCACTTTCTGAGAATGTGGTGCTGCAAAAATTAGATGGTTGCTAAAAAATCTATATTTGTTTGTCCAGTCTATAGCCCATGTAGATGAAGATGAGGCCAAAGGGATATTTCTCTGCTGTTATTTGAATTATCATTATCAGTTTTGATATTTATGGTGAAATGATCTAAGTTTGATGAAAATAATTTGAATCAAAATACTCTCAAGTTGAGTGAGAGAAATGGCTGCCAGAGCGAATTGTGACATGCAAGTCATGACAGACTGATAAGAGTTATATTAGACCTACTAGTCATCACGTTGAATTACTCACAAATCAACTGGATTGTCATGCTTTCAGAGCTACCAAAAAAAAGATAAGAAGACTCAAATTGGGACGTACAAGTCATGGTAAACTGATATGATTTAGTATTATATTCAACATATGTCTTATTTGAATTCTCACAAACCATATCGAATTTTCATGATTTCAAAGTTATATCAGAAAAAGACTTAACACAATTGTTTCTCGCCCACAAATTCAGCGTAGCTGCACCTGCTATTATGGTAGTCATGAAGAAGATCTTAAAATGACCGATGTACGAAACAGAAATGAGATATTTAGGACAATTGTACATGTTAAAAAACTCTATCTTCTGTTACAATAAATAAGAAGGTAAATTCCTATTCCACTGAATTAGAAGAATGAAGAGCAAATTCACAACACAGAAGACATTCTTTAACTTCTTTTCTCATTGCTCCCTTCTGGTTTCCCAATCCTCGGATCAGAAAGTGAGAACTTCTTTACTTTCTGCAAAAGAACATGAAAATCACCATTATATGCAAATTACAACTCACAACAAGACACAGATTACTTCTCACTATATATAAACAAGTGTAATGAACACTAAGGAAAATAGTTAATGAATCAATAACCACTACGCACAAGGGAGCTAAAACTTATAGTAGCTTCTCCTGCTGAAATATAATCCTTTGAATGCTAAGACACGTTGGAGTGTTAAAAAACATTTCATCCGAATTTGTAAACAGAGACTACTGCAAGTTTCTTATAAATGTTTTCTGCTTAGATGCATAACAGAATGCCTCATGCAAGAATAAAATGTTCATTATTAAACTTTTCTTCGACACACACTTCTCTTTCAAGAATTAGTCTCCACTAAAGAAGCCAAATTGATGGTATTTGGAAAGTAAGCCAACTGACAGGAAACATGCTCCCATAACGAGCTTTTACCTACAAGGCAATTTTGGCTGTAGTACCAAGATATTTGGTAAGCTTAAACGCAGTAACATGGTCAGTAGGATTCATTCATATAGCTGACCTCAACTTGGTTGGAAAAGAGCTATTGTGGGGTTATATGATAGAAGGATGTCTACAAAAGTGGGTAAGCTTTACAAAATGGTTATAAGACCGACAATGCTATATGATAGTAAATGTTGAGCCGCTAAAGTCCAACATATCCACAAGATGAGTGTTGCAGAGATGTGGATGCTAAGATAGACGTGTGGTCATACAAGAATAGACAAGATTTAAGAAGGCCACAATCGCCGGAAGGTGCAACTAACACAGATTGAGGATAAAATGAGGGAAGGTCAGAGATTGTTAAGTTGTCATACATCGACTTGTAAATGCACCGCTCTATAGGTGTGAAACTACTGCAAGTGAAAGTGTTAAAAGGGGACGAGGCATACCAAAAATCACATGAAAAGAAGTTGTCGTGGAAGACCTGGGCACAGTGAAACAAAAAAATCCATATAGGTGATATATACTAGTCGAGAATAGGTTTTAGTTTTGTCAATAAGTTGATCTTGAAACTATTGTTTCAATATGTGTATTCTAACCTTATCACAGATTTATACGTCTATAAATATATAGAGGACTTTTATTTTCTATTACTACTATTTATATGAATATATTTAATTTATTTTTCACAGCTATATTTATTTGGTATGACGATGATACGATTTGAACTGAAACTAAAAACATGGTTAGTGAGGATTCATTTAGCCGACCCCAACTTGTTTAGGACTAAGATATCGTTGTTAGAGTACATATATAACAAGGAATAATGTGTTAAATGTTCGGTAGACACTCCCAAACCGTGTATCTTTTTAAGTACAGGAGCAACTGCTCCATCTGTCAAACATGATCTACCAGAAGTCCAGAACAGTTTGCATTGACAAATTTATTGGTGAAATTTCAGACTATGAGACTTCTCAAAAAAAAAATCACAACATGAGAACAGGAAATAGTAAAGGTGTTAGTGGCAAAATAGTATTGAGTTTAGTTTTATGATTTTGTGAAGTGATCTGTTTTCTTACATTTCTATCATGCTGCGATTGAACCTTTATAAAGTCTATATCAGTCTATTCTGGCATAAGGTTTCTGAAACTAGACCCAACCTTTTGCACTAGCTTTCAACATTTGTATGTCCCTTGTCAGTTGTCTCATCTAAGTGTCCACTTAGATTTTAACATAACACTGTCTGATATTATCATGCTTTACCTTCAAAATAACATGCTTTAATTACAGAAATAAAATATTGGCCTAACAGTGGCATCACCTATTTTTTGTCTGTCTCCACTGAAAAGATCCTAGATATTCATTGTCTAATCAACATGACATCAGTAAATTAGCAATAAAAGGTTACAAATCTACTTGATATTTGCAATGTGCAACAGAATAACAAGCTCAAGATTATTTTTTAGCTGTCTTTGTCTTTTCTACTCTAATTCTGTTCCTTACATATGTAAAAAAGTGAAACAAGAGAAAATTAATTAGCTTCTCATGAATCATGAGTAAATCATTTCCTCACCTTCCAATGATCTTGAAGGGCAAGCAAGCATATCAAAGAAATTAACCATTGGACATGAAATTTGAACTCAACATTCAAGTAGTTTCTAACGTTACTCATAACTCAGCAAAAACAGAACACACTAGGTGAGATCTTCCGATATGCCTTAGTTTTGGTGGCGGGTGGGAGGTGGCAAATACCTAGTGGGATAATCGAGATGCTTGTAAGCAGACTCTGACACCATTGTTATTATAAAAGTTTCTCATAACAATTGGTGTATCTACCACGATCTCATCTATCACAAGCACCTCTGGAAACAACATGGTTCTATCACGCCAACAAGAATATTCTATCACTTCCGCGAAACAATTCCTCAAAACTCAATTTTGTTTTCTTAAACATTTACAATGAACGAACAAGACTAGCTAGTCACTTCTTAAAGATTCTGTTTTCCCCTGATTCCATGATCAAGAAGTTAGCATCATACAGCCTGTAACTCTAGAACAAAAAAATAATTTTGTTTCACTCAACATGTAGTTTATCTACATCTAAAGATGGTAGAAAACAAGAAATCCTCTAGCCTCTGCATTTCTAAAATTTGATGTGTCCTAAATCAGCTTGCACCTAGGTCTAGTCAACATAATACCTGCTACTTCCCACTAATAAGTATCAGGTAAATCTACAGGCTTAAACTCACTTAGTGTCACCTTAGGTCCTAAGGTTGTTACTCCAATTCTTTGACCCTACCCCCCCCCCCCCCCCCACACACACACACCAGGGGCAAATTTATAGCCTGAAATATGGGGCACATGAACCATAGTCTCTCCATAAAACTAGGTACTTTATGTATATATTTTCTAAATGTGGTACAAAGGAGTATAATATTATCCGTTGGTGCCCAATGCTACAAAATGGCTAAATGGAGCACTTGGTTGAATGTTAATTTATTTACCCAGAGGACAATGAATCAATTCACGCTCAATGCATAGTTCCCTTTCTTTTTGTTAGTGATGCACTCATGTTCTACAAATCCTAAATTCGCCTCTGTGGCTCTGCCTCCGCCCTTACATTACTTATAACTCAATTTGGTTCAGGAAAAAAAGGTTTTTTTCTCTAAACCCTTAATTATAGTTCCTCTACCTAGACTATCTAGTTATCAACCACACAAAGGTGCAAAAATGCAAAATCAAAACTCAAATGGAGCAAAAATTCAACAGCTACGAAAAAACACTAATTTTATCAAACCAAACAACACTAGAAAAAATGGAAAATTACCTTGTTGATTACGCATTGGCGCAAAGCTTCAAGCAACCTTTGGCATTTCTCCTTATCGTAAGGCGATTCAGTGGTGCAATTTAGGAGATCAAGTGCTTCTTGCCCACAAACAGGTTGAAGACTTTCCGGGGCATCCATGAAAAAGCTTGAGGATTTTGTGATCTAGGGTTTATGGAATTGTGAATGTAAGTATAAAGATTGAAATTCTGGAATCTCTTGCCCACTGTTTGTTTTTCTTTTACTTACAGAAAACAGTGGGCATTTTTCTTCTTCTTCAAGAATGTTCCAAAAGGAGACAATGATGCTTTTAGAAAATTCTAGAACTTCTTCATATTATGATGTTTGTATTTACCTATATATTTTATTTAGTCACCCGAATTACGATCTATCCATTAGTTGTTTATCTAAACTTTTCGCACTAAGTTGGACTGATTGACGGATTATGCAGCAGGTTCATGATCGGGTTGGATATTAGGTTGGGAGTATTGGATATAATCGGTGAGTTATATCACTTATATTGGATTTGAATTAACTATGCGATTTCAAGTCATATTGGATCGGGTTTCAATTAAAAAAAAATTGTTTAGAAAGTATATTATTTTTTTTAAAAGTATTTAAGATTGAATTATTTTTCATTAAAATGTGTAATGTCGAAGGAATATGTTAGTTATGATATTTAGTATGCTTAACAAATGGATCGGCTGATTTAACTTGTTTCGCTTATTTAGCTGAGTTTTGAACTTGGCTGATTTTGGGTCTTCAAGGTGTACCAACAAAGCATGTCTCATAAGTTTTGCGTTGGTTTGATATGGACTATTATCGATTCAATCTAGTTCCATATCAATTTGGTTCGATTGACACTCTTACATTCAACTAAATTATTCAGATTCCAACATATTTAAGAATAAACGATATATGAAGCGTTTATATATTTTCCGTGCTAAATAATGTTTGTTTGGTCGACAAATATAATTATTTCCTTTTAAATAGTTAGTAGAAGAATTTCAAAAACTTCTTTGTTGCAAATCAAACTTTAACAATATTTTTATCAAGTGTTAGTTTTACTCTTTAAGTGTCGATTTAAGTTTATAGTGACTTTCTTTTTCTTTTTTTATTTTTCTTTGCGTTTTTTTTTTTTTAGAGTTCTGATGCATAACATTTGGAAATGTTATCGTAATGTTAGGAAAAAATTGTATATTTTATCATGTTTAAATTTTATTATACTAGATATATTGTTGTTATTGAAAAGGAGCTCAAATGCAAAACTAAAATTTCAATATTAAAGGAGGTGAGCAATGGATATGTTTACTCCTTACCTAATTATAGGTTTTGATTTCGAATACTCAATACAAAAAAATCTTTGCTAGAGGGTGTTTCCCCTAAATAGACTCTATAGGACACGAATTCAAATTACTTTGACAAGTTTTTAATATGAAGCGCTTTCTTCAAATGAATTTTTATAGAGCACGAATTTGAATTAGTCAGACTCCAATATAAATATCGGACAGGACACCAAAACAAAATTAGGAAGTCATTGTGAAATTGTCCTCATGAAAAAAAGGTTAATATAAATTTCGAACAAGACATCAAAACAAAATTAGAAAGTCATTGTGAAATTGTCTCATGAAAAAAAAGTTTAAAAAACGCAGAAAAATTAGAAATTGCGTTGTCTCATGAAATAAAGTTTAAAAAACGCCCACCGTGGGGCTCCAACCCACGACCACAAGGTTAAGAGCCTTGCGCTCTACCAACTGAGCTAGACGGGCAATTTTTGTTAATATTTTGTGATATTTAAATTTATTTATATTCCTTCAGTGCTCACACATACTATGTAACAAGAACAAGAATCTGGCCAAACATAAAAGGAAAAGAAATAACCAGAGCTAGAAAAAATAACACCTGATATTACTACACTCTGCAAATCAAACACAAATTCATGATTTTCATTTCTAGTAAAATCAAAGAGAAATCGGAGTTAGATATGTATATATTTTCAGAGTACTATACTTTTGTTTTTATTATTATATACATCAAAAGTAAGTAATTAAATCGTCACCAACAAAATAAAAATTCATATCACCAACCAATTACACTATTAAAATCTCCAAGTACTTAAACTTTCATCATTCACGTAATTTTTTAGTTTCCACACTTTAAAAGAAGTCGCTAAAGCAAATAACATCTTTTAATTTTATTCAAACAGCCAAGATTGAAAATAAAATCCAGAGTATCCTTTATGAAATTTCAATTTGATTTGTATATCTTAGAATAGAAGATACTAAAATAATATGTATATATACTATTAATGTATTTAGTATGTATAGCACCTATTTATTTGATACGTTAATACACATATAATGTATGATATTACGTATATCACATTTGAGTTGAAATTGGTATCCATTATCATATTTAATTAACGAATATGTATCAAAAAGTATGGAATATATTTTGATAGTATATCAATTTGAAGTAGATGAATGAAAGGATAAAACGGAGAGATTTAGATGGAATAAAAATAGAGAGATTTAATGAGACGAGTCTAGTGTGTTTGGTTTGAAGGAAAATGTTTCCGAATTTTTTTTCTTATAAGTGAATTTCTAACTTATTTTCTAGTGAGCAAAACTATATTGTCTCAAGAACATTTAGATGCAAGTTAGAAAAACACCACGAGGGTGAAGAGTGGGCTATTGGGGGAGACGAGGGGTGAGAAGGTCAACGGGTGTAGGTTGAGGTCGTTGGGAGGAGACCAAGAATTGAAAAATCACTTATGGAAATTATTTTTCTTTTTCTCACTAGGAAAGTCATTTTCTTATTTTTTAAAGAACTTATTTTTCCAAAAAAATATTTTGACCAACTAAAATTTTCTCACGATTAGTCGGACAAAATTTTTGGAAAACATTTTCATAGGAGGAAAATGACTTCCTTAATAGATGTTGGAAAATAAGTTTCATAAGCAACGTTTTGTAGCAAACTACCCTTGAAATAAACTTCCGCATAGAAGTTTGGGAATGATCTGCAGGCAAGTAAGTGATAAACTAAAGTGCAGATGCAAAGGGTTAAAATGCATACTTTGAACCCAACATAGAGTTTTAACACCATAACTGATAACTTTCTTGCAAGCAAAGAGAAAATCAAATTGTTTCAGGTAGGACCCTGTTCGACTTTCCCGCCTTTAAGTTTGATTATGCATAAGAACACAATTTCTTAATACATAATATATAATACTAAATACCACAGCAGCCTTTAAGTTTGATTATGCATAAGAACACAATTTCTTAAATACATAATATATAATACTAAATACCACAGCAGGGACGGAGCCCCATGGTCACAGCAACTATTTCCATAGATAATACAAAATACCACAGCAGGGATGGAGCCCTCCCTCCAGAGATGGTCACAGCAACTATCCCATGGCAAATTTTTGAGTCCAGCTCCGGGCAGTTGTCTCATACTTGCTCCTATCAGTTTTGTACATATGAGCAATCTCCGGCACCAAAGGGTCATCAGGATTAGGGTCTGTCAGCAGAGAACAGATAGAGAGCAGTACCTGCAAGGGACAAATTAATTAACCCAACTAAAATCTAATCTGATGAATGCCCAGCCTGCACTAGACTGGTAAAATAGTTCAAATTTACGGGAAAATTTACTGTTTCAAAAATCTCAGGATGTAAATAACCAAAATAAAAAGATCGATGTGTGGTAAGGCTGGTAACCTATACCAAGAAATTCAACTAACCTTGGAGATGGTAAGTGCAGGGCTCCACTGTTCCTTCAAAATGTCTAGGCATATGCTGCCATTGCTATTGATGTTCGGGTGGAAAACCTTTGTCCTGAAAGCGACCTGCACATTTATCCCATAAAATGAAGATGAGAAATTTGCTGACGGGGAAAAAAATAAATTAGAAGTAAAGGAGGTTGCAGAACAACATCAGGTGGGGAAGTGACATCCACGTCCCTCATTGATCTTGCACATAGAAGTTCTTTAAACTTACGTGCTTTGGCAAATAGATCTTGAAACATATTATGTCACAGTTAAAAAGATGTGAAGAGAAATTCTTTTATGTGATTCTCAAGCAATGTGCAAAACTTGCATTTAAGCATTTAAGTTGTTAATACACCTATAAGAAAGGAGCCCCGAGATTCCAAAATCTCATGGTTTGTCAATGCACCAAGCCTCGACTAAAAGAGAAATCTAAGCCATACTTCTTCAATTTGCACAATATGATAATACTCTTCCTACCTTAGATCAGGCGTACCACTTGGTTGAAATAAACAAGTGGACAAACTATACTCTCTTGCTGATAATAGACTAGATTTCTATGCATTGGTAACTTAGCAAGCGTTGCAGAACAGTTTCTCAAATAACAACAAGACTCAGTACTAGACCTTCATGAACTGCATTAACAGAATGCACTCTGCCAATGATAGTAATCCACGGCCTTTTACCATGGCTTCCTTATCATCGAAGCTCAGTCCACCAAACAGGAGACATATATCCATTTGAAACTGTAATCACAGGGCATGGGACCAGCGACAAAACTAAAGTTGAACTCAAGTACTTTCATATGTAGCATCATCTTCTCAAATACAGTGTGCTCTGCCTCCTTAAATCTTGTAACATGAGCTATTGCTGCTCCTAGTTTTTGGGGGAAAAGAACTAACAGGATTAAAATCTAATGGACTTGATGACATGGTTTCTAAAATCGGCTAGATTACATATGATGGTGTCAAACACCCAGAATTCAAAATTCATTGAAGGCCATTTACAAATGTGAGTTGTGACTTTGTATAGGAAATGAAAAGGATCACAATCAACAGTTGACACCAGTTGAGTTGAGATTTCATATCTATGCTTACCTAATAAAGATAATAAAATGAACAAAGAAGCTTCAATCCAGTTGTTACAGTAAAATTACAAGCCTAGAAATGATACAAATTTGATTTTATAAAAGAAGCAAGAGAAGTTTCAGAAATATCATGTTAATAAGCAAACAAACAAGTTGATCATCAAGTGTCATCAACAATACAGATCCCTAATTTCATACCTTTGGTGGCTTGAACGGATAGTCAGGTGGAAAATGAATAGTAACAAGAAACACTCCACCAGAATAGGGACTGTCAGCTGGACCCATGATTGTTGCTTGCCAATGAAACATATCTTCAGCTACTGGGCCTAATACAGATAACATAAGCAAGAACACAAGAAATGAGAAAACAACTTGCCACATGCAGACCTTTAAACAAGTTTCTTCAGCAACTCACAATACAAGCAGCTGATTTAATATAACACAAGAATCGGAGAACAGCTTTGCAGATGTTAATGAGGGCCTGAGGCTCTACTTAAAGTCCTAGAGTCTCCATAGTTTTTTCTTCTTTTTTTTCCAGTAAGATTCTTCCTAGAATAGTACTAGGTATGTTGTTGTTGTTGTGGTTGTAGTTGTATCTTCCTAGAATAGCAGCTGTCAAAAAAATGAAGGGACTTTTAACAGAGGGTAGGAATGACTAATTACACATAGTTTGCGGAGTTTTTGCCCTTAAAATAATGTTAATTGATTTTATTTTCCAAGTCGATGCTGAATACCAATCCATTTGACCTGCTATCAAACTCAAGATTTCTCTTTGATTTTAACCATCTTGTTAGGATCTATTTTGGGATGAGCTAAGTTCTACCAAGACTCTCATTTGCAGCCCATTAAATGTCATATAAGCTCAAAGCACACAAACAGAGTATGACCTGATATTCCCTCTCCCGTCCAAAGCCAAAAGGGGGGAAAATCAAGAAGCAATTGAATTTATGCAATCACGTGCCAGAAGAACAGGGTTTGGTTCACTGAGTAGTATGGTGCGATATGTGTGGTAGGTGCATGTCATGAGTTTGAAACCTGATGTGAACCCCAAGTGTGGTATTTAAGTAGAAATGATTTATGGGTTACTAATAATCAATATGTATATCTATATTATGCAAACAGCACGAAGCCCCTAGATGAATTGTTGTTCGCCTTTTATAGTCTTTTAAAAAAGAGTTCACACAAAATAGTCATTAATATTTCCCTAATATTTAAGACTACAAAATCAGCTAAATTTAATAATCACAAATTCACAATTAATACTGCGTTGTGTTTATCCTATCTTAAGTGGTGTGTTTGTTGATGAGTGGTGGACATTGACTGTTTGTTGTTTATATTCTTTTGTTAAACTTCCTTCGCTCTTAAATTGCTTAGTATTTAGTCCAAAGTATTTTGGGTATATATTGAAATAATGTAAGAGAGGTATCTCCTTTATAATTGAACTATTAATCAGTAACTTCTTCAATCCAAGGTGCCATGATAAATGTTAATACATTCAACACAATTCTATCTTCAAGAACACATCGAATCCCAGCATATAAAATTACATCGACACATAATATATACACCTAATCAGATATTCTCTTTAACAAGTCAAAAAGTTCATTTGATTTAAGATTTTGGCCGAAATAATGATCTAGAGAATATGTAAAAAGAAGATTATAGAAGAATTTGACACTTCCTTTAAGATCTAAAGATTTTAAGCCAGAAAAAAAAATCACATTAGGGAACTTTTAAGCACTTTGAACTCCTTTAGGTTTAGGAGTAGATTTATTTGTTATTAAATTTTAACCAATTAATTCTCTATTAAATGTTTTAGGTCAAAATTCAAGTACTTTCAACTTCTTTTAGGTTTAGGAGTTCAATTACATTGACATATAATCTATACACTTAATCAGACCTTCTCTTTTACTAGTAATGAGCTAGATGTGATATAAGCTTTTCGCCGAAATAATGATCTGGAGAATATGCATAAAGAATATCAGAGAAGAATCTGACACTTCCTTTAAGATCCAGAGATATTAAGCCAGAAGAAAAAAATCACATTAGGGAACTTTTGAGCACTTTGAACTCTTTTTAGGTTTAGGAGTTGTTTTATTTGTTATCAAATTTTAACCAATTAATTCTCTATTAAATGTTTTAGGTCAAAATTCGAGTACTTACAACTCCGTGTAGGTTTTGAAGTCTTCTTTATGTATTTTTTTTTTGAAAAGGTTAACTGGAAGTCTTCTTTATGTTATAACACGGAAAAATCACATTAAAAAACTTTTCGAGTACTTTGAACTCCTTGTAGGGTTAACATTAAAGAATAATCTTTATAACAAAGAAAACAAAACTTTATTTACCTGATAGTTTTAGTTATTTAAACAGATCCTATGCCTAAACTATATCATTTGACAAGTTTTAATCAATTGAAAGTTTCTTTTAAATCTATTTCTTTACAAATTTGTTCGCTTTTTTCGACTTGATGAAGATAACCAAATGCCCAAAATGCTTTCAAGCATGTATTCATCCCCAAAATTTAACTTAACCTAAACTATTATTCTTTGCAGGTTGAGCAGACACCCAATTACATTGAATTCAACTATTGCATCAACCCAATTTTACTTCTCAATTCAAATGAATGTTGCATTTATCTCGACGTCAATTATTATAACACAAATAAAACTAGTAAACAAATAAAAACATCTTCAACTCTATACACTTCCCCCAAACTAGAAATGTTAACCATTTAATCATGAAGCTGAACAATCAAAACAATAAATTTTAGAGAAGATCTGTTCAGATATTGCAAAAGGAAAATAAAAAAGAAGTAGCAAACCTATAATCTCAACAAAGCCAGCAAGAACAGTACTTTTTAGAAAAAACAGTTAAAAGTAGAAGGAGAAGAAAAAGGTACCAGCACTGCAAGAGGTAGGAGGATCTTTCTGGAGATCCTTCAGCTCCTTGAGAATCCGCTTGGATGCCATAGCAGACCAAATCCCTAACTTAACATAAAACAAAACCCTAGATCAACTCCGAATGCACAAATTTACACATACAGGAAGATAATCAAACACCATAAAAGCACAACTGAAGAAGAGATGAGAAGAATTTTTACCTCAGAGATCCTCCTGTGGTACTGCAATTCAGAATTCTGGAACTGGTGAAGAAACAATTATGACTCCATTTTTTTTATATATATATAGCAGAGAAGAAAAATGAGAAAGTGCTTTTGATCTGTAACGTATCAGTGAGAGGTAATTTTCACCTACAACCCCTAGTGCTTTGAGGATGTGACAATTAGATCCCTTAATTATTTAAAAGTGGCAGACACCTACCAAACTTTTCTAGTTATGGGCTACTTTCATCGTGCCTTAGTATCCATAACATTGGGCGCCCAGAGCAGGTCGCACAAGTATCAACCATACATGTGTCGTGTCTTAATGTCAATCGTGATAATCAGCATCTGGTAGAAGGGCAATGTGGAGGCGATAGTCACTTTAAAATGTTGTATTGCATGTCCTAAGAGTGTCAATGAGTTTATGAAGGACATGAGGTGAGTTCAGGGTCTAGCCTATAGGTGACGGTGATGTGCATGCAACGAGTGCCACTATCGTACATTCTTGAGCAATAGTTGGAATGTAGAAAATTCAGATAAAAGTTTTGTTACTAGGATATTTTTAGATATGATTACCAAGTTTGGTGTCATTTGAAGTTTGTTTACATTTGGGCTTGACTTAGCCGAGAAGTAGTGGCATTGCCATAATTAGTTTAAGCTTCTGAAGGCTATAACTTGTTCCATGTGTATGGGATGAAACTTCACAGAGGTGTGAACAAAGTCAAAAGGAGTTGTTAGGAACAAATGGCACCTGATTTAGAGTTCATATGAGATCGGGAAAACTCATCATCATTTTCGAACAGAAACATGTCTACTCTTCACACTTGAGTTCATTTTTTAAAGCATATATAACATGGGTGTAGTTTATTTCTTTTAACCATATATAAAAAGAGTATGCATGGTGACAACCTACCAGCCTTCCCCATGTCTGTTGACAGTGGATCACCCCAAGTATGTTGCCTTAAGGAGGAACCTCAAGGGCCTTAAAGAGTGCCTAAGGTATCCATACGAGTTTGGGAACTCTATGGATGGCGCATGGACTATGGCCAACGTTGGGCGTCGAACAAGTAGTGAAGACTTGATAGTTGGAAAGATCAGGACTTGTCGGCTACCCTTGTGATGGAATAAGACCTCTACGTCTATTGAGCTACTAGTTTTTTGACACGTGCGTTGCACGTGATTATTAATTCCAAAAATATATGTTATAGTAAATAATATTGCTTATTTAAGCAAAGATTTGAATAATAAGCTCAGCAAAAAATAATATTGTAGATTTTTTTGTAAATGTTCAACTTAGATCGTCATATATATCTCTTATTCACACAAACCTATGAAGATGGTCAATGAACAATTTTATTAGTTAAATGCAATAATGTATATATTTATTTTAATTTGATGAGGTTCAATTATGTAATTAGTCATATCTCACTAATATTACCTTATAGATAATATTCGCTTTGTATTTTTCTTGTTATCTAACCAAATGTGCTTTGCATGTGTATTCCACGTTAAATTGTTTAGATATCGTATGAACATGTGAAGAGAACAACTATATTTTATATATTCACATATTTTCACATTTGTTGTGAGTTTTCTTAAAAAAAACTCGAAACATTTTAAAATGATATATTTTGAAGTTAGAAGATCTTATTAACTTGATAATACATTTGTGACATATATAATACTCTAATTTATATACAAATACCTACCCAAATATAAATATATACTTGCATTAATGAAACTATTTATCTCATAAAATTAACTATTAAATAAATAATAAAAATTAAACTAATACAAACTTCAACTGGCATTATTACAAATCATATAACTTTTCTTCGATTAAAATACTGAAATATTAAGAAATAATAAATAAGTTAAACAAAAGGGCAATGTTTATATAGTATTAGATATTTTGAAGCAAACTTTATGAGAGTTTAAATCACATAAGTAGCATTGATAAATAAAATCATTCTTTTGTCTTGAGCATCAAAAACAAATCGTGACGATTCTCTAAATTTTGGAAAAGATATTCAGAAGCATATATCTACATCTCAAGAGAAATTGTTGACAAAAACAAATGAATTTAGACTACATCATGTTAACTTCATATATTGGATCATTACATACTAATGTATATTGGAACACACATTATTATATCATCAAAATTATTTTCCTCAAGTACTCGAGGTTATGAAATATACCCTTTTAGGATAGAACGATTTACTTCATTAGATAAGTGGTACCTCATATTCCGCTAAACTTCGAACTCACTCAACGATAATAAATCACACAAATAAATTTAAAATGCAAGAAGAAGAGTAGAAGATTAAAAAAAATTGTGGTTGAGAAATGAGAGGAAGCCCCTCTATTTATAGTCAACAAAGGGTAGTATACACAAATATTTTTTGTGTCTTATCTGAGAAGTCATGACCTTTTCGAGAAGTCACAACCCTTTGGAAAAGTCACAACTTATTGAAAAAGTTACAACCCTTTGGAAAATCATAACTTATTGAAAAGTCACAACTTATTGAAAAAGTCACAACTCTTTGGAAAATTTACAACTCATCGAAAAATCACAACCATTCGAAGACAGTCACAACTTATCGAAAAATTCACAACTCATCGAAAAAGTCACAACCTAAGTTAGGGATATTATAGTTATTTAACATTCAAGTTAGGAGTTCATGCTTTTAAGGTAATATAGATGAGGGGCTCTTTACAAATTCTCGTTAATTGACTTGTGAGCTTGGGTGGGTTTGTCTATGCGAGCAAGGGTTTGTTGTTTTCCAAGACGTGCATTTGTGGGGCGAATTTGCGCTATCTGAGATGTAGTACAATATGTGAGTTTTGTTTGGAAATGTCATAAGATAGTCGAAGGCATGATATGTAAGGCACACATGACCAAGGCTAAGGATCGGATGTTTTCTTACTCAAGCTAAGTGTAAGTCACATACACATACACATACACAAAGAAATTGTTAAGCTTGAGGACAAGGTTGTGCGCGTGAGAACGATACTCAAGTTCAGGTGAGGGACTAGTATGCTTGTAGCCAACCCCTAATGTACGCATGAGCAAGATCCAACATATAAGATGTGTCCCAATATCATGCTAGAAAGTTGAGCCTACGATCATGGAATCGAGTAAGAGGTAGCGCTAAAGCTAAGACTTTGAGGCAAGCTTCGCCATAGGCATACGGTAGTGCCAAAAATCTTAGGACAATCATTAGGCTAGCTTGTAGCCTATTGGGACTATAGGTGTCACACAAGTGTGTGCCACTTACACTAAGAAGGAGTCAAATCAGAAAGAACTAATTAGATCATAATCGAGCATATGATGATGTTTCTTATATCGAATAAGGAATATCTATTTGAATCACTATCACCTATTTGACTTGGACCAGTGTTGCCTTCATACATCCCGAACCACTTTGTGTTATGACGACCAATGATGCTCACCCTACAACATCATTGTCCTCCACAACATTTTACTTTGCAGCTAGAGTGCACTCACAATAATGCCTTGCGTGAGACCAATCAGCCTTGAGCCCAATGCCTGAGTTCAACCAAGTTGTAATTGTAGTCAAGTGATATTAACTAGAGTTTTCAAACTATGTTTCGTCTTTTCATCCTATGACTAGCCTTTTTTGCATATAAGTAAGCGCTTCCAAAGAAGAGATATGCATCCGATATTTTCTCCTGAAACCAAGAAACTAGAGATGTTCATGATTTGGTTTGAATCAATTTTTAGGATAAAATCAAAATTAAGTCAATTTTTAAATTATTAAAATTGAACCAAACTAAATACAATTCATTAGGTTCATGGGATAAATGCATTATATTATTTAAAAACGAGATTGATATGATATAATATGTCAAATATGTGTCGTGTATTTTCTAAGTCAAAAGACAATAGTTTGGTGATTTTATTGTCTTAAAAAACAAAAGTGACTTCAGTTAGACATCCTCATAAATTGAGTGACTCTATTGTCCAAAATATAACAAAAATGACCATGGTAGGATTTTTCCAAAAGTTGAATGACCATTCATGAAATTATTCATGCAATTAAGTGGGTCATTTACAGACTCGTCTGATGAAGCAGGATCAAGTGACAAGTGTCCAACGTTTGTTAGGGGTGAGTCAAGGTCAACAAAGCTATAAATTTTGATTTAGATTTTCAAATTTTATCATTAAATATTTGTTTGACCATTTAAGTTCCAAAAATTACAATTCAAAAACTCAAAATTTCAAATTCAAGTTTCAACTTTAAAATCTGCGTCCAAGTCGGAGCTAAGCATTACTACATTATGGATGTGTTTGGTGCGGAGGAAATATTTTCCTAGAAAATGTTTTATCAATTTTCCCACATGTGGTAATTTAATATATTTTTGGAAATTATTTTCTTTGGGAAGACAAGTTCGTTAAAAATGAGTAAAATAACTTTTATTTTCTTTGAAGAAAATCATAGGTTTTGATATAAAATATAATTGTACCCGATAGTTAAGTGGATTTTTAATTTTATAAAGAGAAACCAAAAACGGTAGTTCAAGAATTACTAATCGAAGAAAAGGATATTTTGACAGTATATATTCATAATTTGTCGAACATTTGGCATGTTAGCTTTTAGAGAAATCAAATACAAAAGTTAGATCTCTACTCTCAAACCCTAGAATTATAGATTTGGCGTCACATGTCAATCAAAACTTCCAAATCACTCGTAAGTTACCCATATATATGGTAAATAATTTATTAGGGGTGAGTGTTGTGTACTTGGTTCGATATTTTTAAAATTCTATTTCTGTAATTGATAATTAAAAATAGATACCAAATATCGAACTTTCAAAGTTTAGTATGGTAAATTATGATACATTAATTCAGTAATTACTTAATGAAGGAAAAGATATGTCGACAAGATATGTTCAATATTTGTCCAACATTTGCCATGTTAGCTTTTAGAGAAATCAAATATAAAGGTTAGATATCCACTCTCAAACCCTAACATTATGAATTTGGAGTCACATGTGAATCATCAAAATCCAAACACTCGTTAAATGTCA